TTCCATTATTCCACAGCTTGCTTGCTTTGAACGCTTAATGATACAACATTATTCCCATCCTGTTGTTGGCACTTTTAAATCTTACTAAGGGGCAAATGTGAGTTCTTTTTTTTTAACAAGTCGTCCGTCTCCCACCGAGGCAGGGTGACCCAAAAAGAAAGAAAATCCCCCAAAAGAAAATACTTTCATCATCATTCAACACTTTCACCTTACTCACACCACACAATCACTGTTTTGCAGAGGTGCTCAGAATACAACAGTTTAGAAGTATATACGTATGAAGATACACAACATATCCCTCCAAACTGCCAATATCCTAAATTCCTCCTTTAAAGTGCAGGCATTGTACTTCCCATTTCCAGGACTCAAGTCCGGCTATATAAAATAACCGGTTTCCCTGAATCCCTTCACTAAATATTACCCTGATCACACTTCAACAGCTCGTCAGGTCCCAAAAACCATTCGTCTCCATTCACTCCTAACACACTCACGCACGCTTGCTGGAAGTCCAAGCCCCTCGCCAACAAAAAGTCCTTTACCCCCTCCCTCCAACCTTTTCGAGGACGACCCCTACCCCGCCTTCCTTCCCCTACAGATTTATACGCTCTCCATGTCATTCTACTTTGATCCATTCTCTAAATGACCAAACCACCTCAACAAACTCTTCAGCCCTCTGACTAATACTTTTATTAACTCCACACCTTTTCCTAATTTCCACACTCCGTATTTTCTGCGTAATATTTACACCACACATTGCCCTTAGACAGGACATCTCCACTGCTTCCAACCGCCTCCTCGCTGCAGCATTTACAACCCAAGCTTCACACCCATATAAGTGTTGGTACTACTATGCTTTCATACATTCCGTTCTTTGCCTCCACAGATAACGTTTTTTGTCTCCACATATACCTCAATGCACCACTCACCTTTTTTCCTTCATCAATTCTATGATTAACCTCGTCCTTCATAAATCCATCCGTCGACACGTCAACTCCCAAATATCTGAAAACATTCACTTCTTCCATACTCCTCCCCAATTTGATATCCAATTTTTCTTTATCTAAATCATTTGATACCCTCATCACCTTACTCCTTTCTATGTTCACTTTCAACTTTCTACCTTTACACACTCTCAAATTAGTCCACTAACCTTTGCAATTTTTCTTTAGAATCTCCCATAAGCACAGTATCATCAAAAAGTAACTGTCACTTCCCATTTTGTATTTGATTCCCCATAATTTAATCCCACCCCTCTCCCGAGCACCCTAGCATTTACTTCTTTTACAACCCTTTCTATAAATATATTAAACAACCATGGTGACATTACACATCCCTGTCTAAAACCTACTTTTACCGGGAAGTAGTCTCCCTCTCTTCTACACACCCTAACCTGAGCCTCACTATCCTCATAAAAACTCTTTACAGCATTTAGTAACTTACTACCTACTCCATATACTTGCAACATCTGCCACATTGCTCCCCTATCCACTATGATATGCCTTTTCTAAATCCATAAATGCAATAAAAACTTCCCTACCTTTATCTAAATACTGTTCACATATATGCTTCAGTGTAAACACGATCTACACCTCCCCTACCCACTCTGAAACCACCTTGCTCATCCGCAGTCCTACATTCTGTCTTACCTCTAATTCTTTCAATAACCCTACCGTACACTTTTCTTGGTATACTCAGTAAACTTATTCCTCTAATTTTTACAACCTCTTTTGTCCCCCTTCCCTTTATATAAAGGGACTATACATGCTCTCTGCCAATCCCTAGGCCCCTTCCCCTCTTTCAAACGTTTATTAAACAAAAATACCAACCACTCCAACACTATATCCCCCCTGCTTTTAACATTTGTCATGATCCCGTCAGTTCCAGCTGCTTTACCCCCTTTCATTCTACGTATTGCCTCACGCACCTCCCCCACACTCACATCCTGTTCTTCACTCTTACAAGATGGTAAACCTCCCTGGCCAGTGCATGAAATTACCGCCTCCCTTTCTTCGTCGACGTTTAAAAGTTCCTCAAAATATTCTCGCCATCTACCCAATACCTCCGTCTCCTCATCTACTGTTTTTAACTGACATATCCATTCGTTCCCTAGGCTCTTAACTTGTTTAACTCGCTCCAAAAATTTTTCTTATTTTCATTAAAATTTCTTGACAGTGCCTCTCCAGCTATCATCTGCTCTCCTTTTACGCACTCTCACCACTCTCTTCACCTTTCTTTTACTCTCCATATACTCTCCTCTTCGTATAATACTTCTGCTTTGTAAAAACCTCTCATAAGCTACCTTTTTCTCTTATCACACCCTTTACTTCATCATTCCACTAATTACTCCTTGTTTAGCGGATATTCATATAAAAACTTCTAGAGTACAGAGGGTCATCAAATGCATTACAGAACTGATGAATTGGCTATGTGTACGACTTCGAGGGAGTAGATTACTTTTTCGGGTTGTCAGCTAGTAGTTTGAGAACAATACGAAAAGAACTTTTCAACTGAATTTCCATAACTTAACAGAGAAAGTGTGATACAGGTCAGTCCATGTATCACTATCTTGCAAGAGCAGTCACATGTAATGCAAATCCAACGAAAGCAGTCAACTCTGGGTGTCACCCTTGCCCGGCTCCAGCTGGACAAGTACCTCTGGGAGTTTGCACCACCAAGTGATGTTAGACATAACTAAACTTTGCCAAAGGAACTGTCACGCCCTGAACCATTGTGCTGGAATGCGTAAAAATAGAAAATTAATAAAAATATTAACGAAATAGGGAAATATTTTATCTACGGTGGTAAATTACCAATCATTCTGGAAAGCTAACCACTTGCTTTGTCTAAATTTAGCCATACCTTGCTAAATATTAGGTATTAGTAACTTATAATTGCTATAAGCTACACTAATGTTTGTGGCAACATGCACTTATTATATTTAAAGGCGGACATGTATAACTATGTGGAGTGAACCTGCCTAGCATGGGCCAGTAGGCCTTAGTTGTCTGCATAAATTCATTACAAATTGTTACAATCATTAATTTGAGAAAAATTCATTACCACCGCCCACTGCGTAGCTATCTAAACCTTGACTAGTCCTTGAACTCATTTTGTGCCTCATCTTTTGACTACCGCATGCGGAAAGGGCGGTGAGTGCATAAAGCCATTGAAGTAGCGCACAATTAAAAACTAAACGTATATCACTCGATATCAACCGTAAATAAGGCGCAGGTATTACATTCGGGGAGCGCTGACCCCATAGGGTCATACAGCTCCTGGGAAAATGGAAGACAATCAGGTTCGAGGTATAGTTCAGTTCTCCTTGATCAAGAGCCCCCTCATCGGACTCCAGGAACTTTCCATGATGGGCGAAGCATAGATAATATCTACCTTAAGAACACCATGTATATTTAGCTAGTCATACAAGTACGTGCACGAGCCTTTGCTTTCTTGATATCAAGGTGGCCATCAATAAGACTAGCACTAGCACCGCCGTCAGTAAGACTAGCACTAGCACCGCCGTCAATAAGACTAGCACCAGCACCGCCGTCAGTAAGACTAGCACCGCCGTCAATAAGACTAGCACTATAGCACCACCTAGGTATAGAGTTGTGAAGGATTACCTTGATTATTATTATAATCAAGGGGAAGCGCTAAACCCATAGGATTATACAGCGCCCGGGGGGGGATGTGGAAGGCATTCAGGCTTAATTCGGGGAACTGGAGCACAGATCCAATTCCCTAAATCAAGAACCCCTCACCATCATCAAGGAACCTTCCATGAGGGGAGGATTACCTTGAGGCCAATGGAATACCAAGCGGCAGAAAAAGGAAAGTGGCGATTTTTTTTTAAACTATCAGTGAGGAACGAGTGGTGCTGTGTAGTGTACGCGTTAGTTACACGCTTTAGTTGACAAGACGCAACGTGGTCATCATGAAGCGAGAGTATAATAGGAAAATATCTATCGCAACTATTAACCAGATTAATCCCCTCCCAGGAGGAACGGTGATTCGTCGAGGAAGTATGGATGCTGAAAAACAAGGAAAAAGAATACAATGAGAAAATGAGCTGGACTCTTGTATCATATTACCAAGGAAACGCTAAAACTAATCTGCTTTAAAACAAGGAAAGGGAGCATAATCCAACTTTTTATGTTAAATCTTTCACCCGCATGCGTAATTTAATGAAATTAAGTGGTAATCACCAGCATGATGGCGCTTGGCGAATGAGTTTGATAAGAGGTAGACGAGGGTTAGCTCTAACCCCATGGATCAAGAACATAGCAGCATCAAGACCCTTCCCCCTCAGAAAAAAGAAGACCGACGTATGTCTCGAGACATGTTGTGGTCCCATATCAGAAGACTTATTACGCTCACGAGGAAGCGCTAAATCCGCAAAGTATGTAGCGCTCCGGGAATGAGGCTAAGGTTCGGTCACATTCCTCGAATCAAGAACCCTTCAATAGGGTTACTCTTCCCCCAGCCTCCGAGAATGGTAAAAAAATATAGCCGTGGGTAGGCAGACGAGGCTACAATTTAACGAAATGGGTTTTGCTGTTGATATTCACTTCATTTTTTAATTAATTTAATTGGCAGCCCAAGCTGCTATTCGCATTTTGTATGTTAGGTAAAAATGCGCAAAATGCAATTTTTTTATATACTTACAGAGACCATTAAGCCCGTATTGCTATAATTTTACTGTAATAAATTTGGTAAATATTTAAGATGTTAACTTTCATTTAAACATCAAGAATGCCAATATTTATTATACTCTGCAGATTTCAAATTTACATAAATTTTTATGTACCAAAATCCAAGCAGTGCCAATGATTTTTCAAACGCCTGGGTAGGTGATGCAGGTTATGTGACAGACGCAGTAATAAACAGGTTTGTTGTGGTATCAGCCTGTGTCACTAATACTCCAAGTCGACCTTTTACATGAAGTTTGTCGACCATTTTGACTGCACTGACGATCAACATTAAAGTGATTGAAAACGAAGTGCTTTATTTTCCTTTATTAAAAAATATACAAAGCCAAAATTTGTGTAATCTATGCATTCTTAGCAAAGTTAAAGACTTTCCACTGTCACCCTTTTAAACACTGTGCACACTGTCATGACCCACGTCCACAAGAACATCCAGGCATCTCCTTAAGTGTTTGTGACATGCCTTTCATAACAAGAACCAGGGAAACTTCAGTGTGAATTGTGTTCATAGATGACAGGTGTAGGTAGGAGTAATTCATTACTTTAATAGAAATTTAATGTCATCTTCGAGAAGTCGCGTTTGGAATTTCTTGCTGAACCTGCAAAATAAGAAAGGTTTAGTGAAAACTATGTACACTACACATATTACTTAAGAAAATACTATACAGGCAGATTTTTTTTTTCCATGTCATATGCTAGCCCAATTTAAAAGTTTATTGTATAATGCATCCGAGCGAAGGATGAGAAAGATTTAAATTATATACTCGCAAAACAACGTTAAACCCGTATAGGTCGTTCAGTTTTAAGAATAAGAGCTAACTGGCGTAGCAATGTTAATCATCCTCAAGCTTTTATATAAGAAGGCAAGAAGTTTAATTCTCAAGTTTTAGTTAAGGCTTATACATTCCAAGATTGCCATTAAAGGTAGTGTTTCCTTAACAGGCATGTTGTCATAAGGTTATAATATAATTTAATGCTCTTAAGGCTTATTTACCGCCAGATTTATAAAGACTACGCTACTTAATTTCCGTGAAGAATGATTTACAAGTTTGTTAGGCTGCTGGAGGGATGGTAAGAATGAGGATAAGGACTGCGGTAGCATAGATTAATGAACAAAGGTTGTGGACAAACAAGAGGCAAAACAGTTTAGTGTGAACGCTCCTTCTGAGTTTTGTTTTCTCTAACTAGTATGGTATACCATCCAAGCATACTTTAATTTTCACCCATATGAGAAGCCCATTTTAACCAACCTTTTGTATGGTACTCCATCCTTGCCAACGAGAAACTTCTCAAAGTTCCAGCCAATATCTGAACGCGTGACTGGGCTCCAGATAATGCACTTTGGATCACACATTAAGCTCACGCTGTCGTCAGAGGGAAAGGGAAGTCTTTCTTTCAGGTACTGAAAAATAAAAAATGAAGTTTTTCAAATTTGGTGTTAAATATAAAACAGCTAATTTTTCAATAATTTTTGGATAGCGCTAAATTTAATATGCAAATGGATGTTCAAAAAGCCTAATTCAGTGCTGTAATCGAGATTCAATACAATCAGTTTCCTACCATATCCACAATTACTGTGGAAAAAAATTACATTCTAATATGGTCATCCCTGAAATACAAGCCATTATATGATCACTTCATCCTTTAAGTATGCAAGGTAATTAAATTTAAGAACACTAAATTGATAAGGCTTTTAGAACTTAAATCAGACCGTGAACATTATTATTATAATCAAGGGGGAAGCGCTAAACCCGTAGGATTATACAGCGCCCAGGGAAGGGGGGATGTGGAAGGCATTCAGGCTTAATTCGGGGAACTGGAGCACAGATCCAATTCCTTAAATCAAGAGCCCCTCACCAACATCAAGGAACCTTCCATGAGGGGAGACCGTGAACAGAGACTTAATTTTTTTTTTTTAAATAAAGATTTACAGGCGTTTTATAGCAGTCTATTGGACTTAACAATTCCTTTCGAAGCTTCAGAAAGTACGCTCCGTATGGTTACTACATGATCGAAGCATCTGGGTTAAATTTTTCTAACTACGAAAAATTTTGTTATGCATATTTTCTTTCAAGACTTTAAAAGTAAAAGTTTTCTGTATTTTACTCTATGGGGAAGGGGAAAAAAAAAAAAAAAAAAAAAAGAGATTTTAAGGAAAAAAGTTGTATGCCGAACTCAAGAACGGTATACAACTTTACGACACATTAAAGAAATCTTTAGTTTAGACTGGACATGCTTACGTGACCTTAACTTTAAATGGTATTCAATACGGCAAGTAGCATGTATGGTACTTAAGAGTTGCCCGGTCAGTGAGCTTGACGGCCAGACTGGAAAGTCTGGACACCGACGTCCTTGTCAATCCTGATTAACGTTAACATACACAAACCTTGAATAATGGGTCTGCAGACTCTCCATTAACATCAACTTTGCTGAACATGTCCATCTTTGGGATAAAGTTGTTACCAGGTCGAACGTACTTTAGGCTGCATAGTAACTCCGACTCAGTGGCATTCTCCTGTAGAAAAAAAATATGACAAGCATAAGCTTTTTAATTAAACCATTTTTAAAATCTATGGTCATATGCTAACCCTAGCTTAATTAAACTTGCAAAAATTAAATATTCGTATATAAAAGCCGCATGGCTGGCAAAGACTTAAGAATTAATGATTTTAAATTTAATTTATACCCTTGTTAATTAACTACTTTCAACAACCTTAGTAAAATTACAATAACTAGTGTCAAGTTCTAACTTCACCGGCTACCATCTGTAACTTACTCGGCACTATCAACTACTTCATTACAAGAGTAGTAAGCTTGAAAAAATAATTCACTGGGGGGCTTAAATCACGGAGTACAATAGAAACAAGTTGCATTATATCCAACATTGCTAGATTCAAATTAAGGAAGTAAAATGGTTGTAAGAGAACGGTTATACATACCATATATATATATATATATATATATATATATATATATATATATATATATATATATACAAATAGGCTAAACTGGAAAGTTTTTAAACTGTACTATGAAAAATGACATGCCAACTGCTAAGGTGTGAATTTATTTGCAAAGCTTATGCATGAAGCAAAGAACCTGGAGGTATATATTACCTAAAATAAGCTAGCAACTTATGCCTTCCGAAACCTGAATAAATTTATGGTGTGCATTACGCCATACAGTACTTAGTATGCATCAACAATGAGAAATTACTATGAAACTTTTAATATCAAAGTTTATCTGCATTCAAATGTTAGCCAACAGATTGGTACAACAATTGTTACGAGCAAGGAGGGCAACGCAGTTTATCGCACGTGACAGGAACATTAACGATGGACAATATAATTTTATTTTTGTTCATTTCGGCTTTATCAAATGATACATGGGAACTGACTAGATGGAGATTCTTTAATGGATAAGAGATTTTAATCACGCTAGTCTAAGTTCAACTTAAGGCAGGCCTTGTTACTCTAGTTACCTTTAGCAAACAGGACTTTTGGAAATACTACCAGAGCCTTCTAAACTGTTACAGCAAAACCTTATCGTTTCTACATAACCCACCATGTCTCCACAAGCTACTTGCCCGACTTAAAATAACCCAGCATAATATTCGGCATAAAGGGGATGTGGATTTTTTTTATAATTTTCCTGAATGTTGAGTACATACATAAATGTAAATAGATAAAATGTGTAAAATAGTGATTAATTAGTTGCGTTTTCTGCCTTAACATCTTCATTTAAAAATGCGTATGCATTTTTAAATAAAGCGTCTTTATTATGTTGAACAGTAAAAAAAATTATGCATGACTACATAAAGCCCCTGAGTGTAATATTCAAAGGTTTAAGTTCCATGTGGATAGATGTTGTGGGAAGGGGGGAGGAGTTGCATTATATGTTCGAGAAAATATTAACTGTTGCATAAAAACAGGTATAAAAATAGATGGAGCAGCAACAATCTGGGTAGTTTGTAGGTCAAGAAAAGCTAATTCTAGGTGTAATATACCGACCTCCAGGCTTGGATCACGATAGAGGGAGACTTCTTTGGGACGAAATTATTAGGGATTCTAGACAACAGTGATTGTAGGGGATTTTAACTTGAGCCAAATAGACTGGAAATCTTTGACTGGTAATCTGGAGTCCAGTGACTATGGAAACAGTTCAAGACTTTTCTGAAGCAGTGTAACAGAGCCTACCAGGGGTAATAATTTGCTTGACCTAGTCTTGTCAAATAAGGAAACTCTTAAATAATCTGGAAATCACTGAAGAGCTTGGCGCAAGTGATCACAAATCCATCACTTTTAGCATTAACTGGGAATACAGGAATAATAATACAGTAAAAATTCCCGATTTTCGTTCTGCCGATTATAATGGACTTAGGGAACACCTGTCAAATCTTGATTGGGGTTATCTAGCTAATGATTCTATTGACGATCATACTTATGATTACGATGGGATCTGCGTTTATGATTTTCTTAATGTACACCGTGCTCAGAGTATATACATTCCCCAGAGAAATTAGACCTGATAACGATCCCAAATGGGTTACCAGGAGGCTAAAGCATTTATTAGGGGAGAAAAGGGGAATATATAGGCGCATCAGAAGGAGAGAGGTTAACCTTACTGACCAATGTGTTCAGCTTGAGAGAGAAGTAAAAGAGGGGATTAGAAAGGCTAAACGTGACTGAAATTAGAGTTGCTAATGAATCAAAGACCAATCCAAAGGGGTTCTTTCAAGTGTATAGGACGAAGGTTAAGGAAAAAGTAGGACCTCTGAAAATTGGGAATGGACAGCTGACGGATAACGAACTGGAAATGTGTTCCATATTTAATGACTATTTTTTGTCAGTTTTTACACGGGAAGACATAAATGAGATTCCAGAAATTAACAATTATTCAGTTCCTGACGAATTCAAATTTACTAATATTACTGTCACGAGGGACATGGTTATCAAACAGATAGACAAACTGAAGCAAAATAAGTCCCCGGGGCCCGACGAGTTATTTTCCAGGGTACTTAAGGAATGCAAGATGGAACTTAGTCAGCCATTAACGAGTGTGTTCAATGTATCCATCCTTACTGGTGTTGTGCCAGAGTTGTGGAAGATGGCCAATGTGGTTCCTATATTCAAATCAGGGGATAAGTCCACTCCTTCAAATTACAGTCGAACAGTCTATAGTTGGCAAATTATTAGAATCAATTATAGATGACATTATTAGAAGTCACCTTGAAGAGTATAACTTGATAAATGAATCTCAGCATGGGTTTACGAGAGGTCGTTCCTGCCTGACAAACTTACTTACGTTCTTCAATGGAACATTTGAGGCAGTAGACAGTGATAAAGAATGATATTGTTTATTTGGATTTTAGTAAAGCATTCGATAGAGTACCTCACAAGAGACTCTTAAGGAAAGTGGCAGCTCATGGTATAGGAGGTAAAGTTCTAGCATGGATAGAGGCATGGCTTACCACTAGAAAGCAGAGTTTTTCATTAACGAGTTCAAATCTGAATGGGGCTTAGTTACTAGTGGTGTTCCACAAGGATCAGTTTTAGGCCCTCTCGTTCATAATTTACATTAATGACCTTGATGAAGGGATTACGAGTGCCATGAGCAAGTTTGCTGATGATACAAAGATAGGCCGTATGATTCATTCTGAGGAGGATAGCAAAGAACTGAAGGAGGATTTAGACAAATTAATGTCTTGGTCTGAAAAATGGCAGATGAAGTTCAATGTGGATAAGTGTAAGGTACTGGTCCTTGGTAATGAAAACCCTCGAAGCTATAACCTTGAAGTAGAGCATCATACAGAATGTGAAAAGGACTTGGGAGTCATGGTAAGCAGAAGCCTAAAGCCAAAGCACCAGTGCCTAATTTATCTCAAGAAGTAACAGAAGCCCAACAGTTATTTTACAGCTCTATACGTCACTGGTGAGGCCTCATTTAGATTATGCTGCTTAGTTTTGGTCTCCTTACTACAGGATGGATATACTCATTGGAGAACATACAGAGAAGAATGACTAAAATGATTTACTGTGTAAGGAATCTCCCGTATGAAGATGGAATTAAAGCCTTAAATCTTCACTCTCTGGAGAGACGTAGAATGAGAGGAGATATTGAGGTGTTTAAGTGGATGACGGGCATAAACAAAGGAGATAATAAGGTATTGAGGGTGTCGAACCAGGTAAGAACCAGAAATAATGGACTTAAGTTGGATAAATTTAGATTTAGAAAGGACATAGGCAAGTACTGGTTTTCTAACATTTGTGGATGCGTGGAACAATCTTCCCAGTGGGGTGATAGAGGCTAGGACCTTGGGTAGCTTTAAGAACAGATTGGACAAATATACGAGTGGGAGGGGGCTGGGTTTGATTAGTGTCATTGGGTACGGGAGTTAATTCTTGGGTAGCTTTGGGTAGAGGTCGTTTTGATAAGGACTTGCCTTGTATGGGCCAGTAGGCCTTCTGCAGTGTTCCTCCATTCTTATGTTCTTAAATACACCTACTCTTATAAGTATACAAGGGTTGGCCAACTTTTAATTACCGGGGAGGTGTTAGGATGTAAACAATAATTTAGTATTTATAATTTTTTTATATATATTTTATTGAAAAAACACATTACATGGTGCACAATTATGCTCAACAGTTCCAATGACGAACAAATAGAAAAGATAACTTACATAAAGCCCATGTTTCAACCCCTCCCCCCCCCCCAAAAAAAAAAAAAAAAGCAATTGTGAAACCTCACCACAATGTTTGATGGATACTCCCCCCCCCCCCCCTTCTCCCCTAGATACTGCAAGATCTTGACAATTCTAGATAAAAAAAACAGCCCACACCCGACCATACAGTTGGCTGCCATTATGATGCAGAAACTTCCTATGCGAGTAGAAACAAAGTGACAACACACCACACGGTGCACTTATTCATACTGGTGAATATAGGTTTCTTACAAAAAACAGTATTTATAATTAGGGTGATAATATTAAAGTGATGAGAAATTTTACCCAGTCTATATACAATAGTCTAAAATTAAATGTTCCAATTGACCATTTCTGGAGATAAAGTCCTTAAATTTATACAGTCCACAACCATAATTTTCCAGTAGTACTGGTTTTATTAAAAAATTTTTTATAGGTCTAACTGTGTGAGTGTAGCTTGCAGTTAGTGGGCATCGAGGGAGATGAAGTGTTGTGACCTGTACCTCAAGTCCCACCTATCTCAGAGGTACAACTAACATCAGTAAATTAAATTTTTACTCTACTCTAGTCGTACCTGGTCCAAATTATATGCATGCAAGAATTCGGGTTAATGCCTGTGAACCTCATGCACAATTTATCACGGGATAATCCCCTCAAGCCTAATTTGCTGACTGCCGACAACGAATTGAGGATGTATTATAATTAAAAACTAAGCTTTAAGCCATCCGGGTCATACAGCGCTGAATTAAAGATACAGCTTGCAGAAAATTAAAAAATATTTAAGTTTTACAGGCTTTGGTATTGTGTGTACTATGAACTGGCTAGGCAGTAGTAAATTTTGAATTTGCTTATGCCGACACAATGTTTAAAGTACTGACCAAGGGTTCTAGAGCTTTGTAAGGAAAAATGGAAGCACAAAAACCTATAATGCAAACTGTCAGCCCTAACCTGATGCCCGAACTGGTTGCAGGGAAAAGCCAGGACTGCCAGACTGTCGCCGAACTTGTCGATCAGCTCGTTCATCTGGACGAAGTCCTGGGTTGTCGTGCCTCAGAGAGACGCTGTGTTTTCTATTAGTACCACTTTGCCCTGGTATTTCCTTAACGACACAATCTCACCTGTGAAAGAGACATTTATCCTGACTTCAAGCTTCCTAAACCAACTAATGAAGATTTTAAAAAATTATGTAAAATGAAGTTTCAAAACAAGATCAAAGTTTTAAAAAGATCAAACTACTTAATTACAATATGTTGCCCTAAAGTTATTTATAAAAAGTTATATTTTGGTACCGGTGGGCTGTGAAACTGCTCAGTTTCACAACCCACCGGTACAACACCCGAGTAAATTTTTAAGACTTTTCGTCAAACAGTGGCTTTATCAATTCAATACGGAGTTCACTAAGCAGAAACATTACAAGAGGTGATTAATCCCTCAGCCTTTAAAGTGTTCACTTCTTTTGTCTATTAAAAAACCGAGTGAACAAGGCTGAGGGACTTACTCGTAAGGGGTCACACATTGCTGCGGAGATATTAGAGAAATTACGTGGGAAGAGTGAGAAGTGTTAGTGCAAGAGTAAAATTCTGTAAATTAAAGTTGATGTAATAGGCGAGGTGGTCAGTGAAAGTGTCAAAGTGGTGTAGATGCCTGCTTGCCCTCTGACAGACTACAATTTATTATTGTTGGACTGACAGTGACCAGTCTTCCCAGAGCGGCGAAGGTCGTTCCTCAATGAGGCATCTAGCAAATCGCATGTCCAACACGTATGCACGAGTTTTCTTCCAAAACCCAATGACGAGGTGGACAGTCAAAATGTGGATAAAAGCAGCGAGAATTTAAAGCAACTCAAAATATTGGCTGACTAATAAAGGACTTGATTATTCTTTTAGGAAAAGCAACTATACCCAACATCAAGGAACTACCATCAGACCCTATAAAAACAAGCTTGTGTCTGGCAAAAAAATTTGCAGAGCATAACTAGGAAGAGTTCAGATCTGCAAGACTAGCTCAGTGACGAATTAAAACCAGGCTAGGTCTAATATGGAGCACGGTTGTCAAAAATGTTTTAAACTTATTTTTTTCCATTTAACATTAATTATATTCACAAAAGCACGAAACTAATTTGCTTCAAAATGGATTTACTTCTGTACCCCTCATGATAAACGAAACTTTTGCAAAACTTTGCTAGCTTTACTGTAGAAAAGTTTCGCCAGCCAGTGGTTTCCTCAGTGCAATACAAAGTATGATAGATCACCCGTCTGCAGTATATAAATAAGCCCCTTCTCCGCTCATATGCTGTCAATTTAGCAAGGTCACAGACTACAGACTGAGGGACTAATTACCTTTAACTCCTCTTGGTCTTCAACCATTCTATGTATTTGACTGAGGAAGCCACTGGCTTTAGAAACTTTCCCAAAATAAAGATACCCAAGTGTTGCATAAGTCTCATTCATCAACTTGTCGGTTCTATGAACTATCTACAATTCTACTAATGAAGCCTACTGTGTAGACTAAACGTTTCGGATTAAAGGTTAGGCAAGGTTCGTTCAGGAAACATGATAAGCGTTTCCTGACGCGATCTTTAGTCATATGATGACTCACCATTAGTATAAAAGATACCTAGCTTGTCTGGATTGTATACTATATTGAATCTTACCATTGGTGGGGAAATAGTTTAGCCTTTGAACAACACTGCAACTTGCATGGTAATCTTATTTTTGTCTCACTTTTCAATACTATCTTGTTTAATGCCTTTTCCTTTTCTTAATAGGTACTACATGCGCCTTTATCTGGCAGTTATGTCAGGAAAGTAATTTAGGGCCTGAAGCCATTAGAAGCATTCATTACACATGGAAGTTTAAGCTGCTTCCACTGCCTGACTTGTGCAGATCCTTCAGGAAATTATTTCAGTCACTTGCTGTTACAGTGACTAATTTTACTTAATTGCCCTCGTTCAGTTGTGAACCTCGTAGCTAGAGAGTCCAAGAATTACACTGTTAGACGACAATTTATGCATTCGGATAACATTAAATTTTCCTGCTAAGACTGCAACAGTGGTTTCGTTGCCTGTAACACTTACAAAAAAGCATAAATGTGTGCAATGTCAACAGATGAATATTAAATGCTGTAGCGCAGGGTTCTCCGTTCCAACACTTTAGGTTAAGATTTACAGTATAAATACACCAAGATGGAGACCTCATTGTACAATGGGTATATACACAGGTGTATACGTGGGGGCAATGAGGCAATTGTTGGGGATAAATGAATTTGCAGCACTCGAGACATTTAATTAAGGAAACTTTTTGCTTAAGGGTTTTTGTTAATCTTTCACTGTATTTACTAAGAACAGTGCTTAAATTACGGAATCAAGTGGAGAGGGGAGCAGTTGTTAGGTGGCCGTAGTGTAATGCCTGGGGGAGTTTTTTTTTTTTTTAATTTTATTTTAAACACCTTATACAGTATACACAGATCTTTACACATGTTAACAGAAAAATATAGTACAAAATCTAACATTGCCGTACCCTCTACAGTAATGCCGCATCCGCATGAAAATTAAGCGTTATGAACAATAGCAGAATTATACACTACCCCACTCCCCCCAATTGCCAGAACATCCTACCTACTATATTCCTTTATGACAAATGTGCAGATAATATCGGCTGTACAGAAACCAGTCCTAGCCAGTTTTATCACAAACCATGAAGTATACCTACTGAGAATTACATATATAAGAAAAAATAGTCAACATATCAAATAACTGGGAATCTACCTCTCTACAAGGATGTTTCAGCATAGATTGAAACACTGTCAGTCACAACACCAAGATGTCCGGCACATAGCCTCATCTTTCTGCACGACACACGAAACATTACAAAACTAATCCACGCCTCTACAGGTGCAAAGCCCCTCAACAATTTCCCTACATGCATAACTATGTTTACCATCAATATTGCATGCATTCCAGCCTTGCTACCGACGGCCGTACAAGTTTACTCAAACCCAGACATTAACAGAACATATCCATACAACGTAACCCACCAGACACCCTATCAGCAGGCTCCCTTGCACCAAGCCACTCGCCTCTCCCACGTACCAACACCATTCACCCCCTCTGCTCCTGCTCCAGAGACCAGCCCGTCGCAACCCCTGAAAACCCCAAACAGAACCCCCCCTCCCAGTTCACTCAACGCTAATAAGACTCCCACGTCCATACTACGATAACCCTCCGGAAAATCCCTTCCCACCGACTCCTGGGCGAGTTACTGTAGGTCATCTTCTCAACGGACTATTATAATCATGAGGAGCGCTAAACCCGTAGGATTATACAGCGCATGTGGGGAGGGGTAATGGAAGGTATTCAAGCTAAATTCAGGGAATCAGAACAGATCCAATTCCCTAGATCAGAGTCCCTCATCAGCGTCAAGGAACCTCCCTGGAGGGGCTCAACGGACTAACTTCATCCAGTTTCATTGGTAAATTTAGGGTGACGAAATAAGCAGCCTTGCCCTAAAATACTTGGAGAAGCCGAATATAAACCCAAGCAAAGTGGTTGAAAAGTTTGCCAGTATTCATAATGTAGATAACGAAAGTGCCGAACAAATCAACAACTAAACAATGGAACGAAACAGAGGCAGAGGGTGTAACACTAATGAATGTAAACCTCTGCGCGCGCGCGCGCGCGAAAAAAAAAAAAAAAATTACTTTTAAGGAGCCAGTTGGACAGGCACACTGCAAGTACATGTACTCCTAAACCAATGTGGTACAATGTATCATGTCACAGCTGCATGCTTATGTTCTTTAGTTTGTTCAGAAGTTCTAGATATGTAACACACTTCATCACTCTTTCCTGCTTCCAGCAAGGACTTTAATCACGGTCTCTAAGCTACACATCTTTGTTAGAGCTGTATGCCACACTGCGGTTATGAGCTTGCTACGTTGTTGACAAAGGACAGTGAATTTAGTGGTTCCTGTCTAACGTGTGTTAATGTAGAGGGTGCCTAGTTGAGTCTAAGATTAAGTATTACGGAATTTTAGAGGGCTTAATACTTTAGGTCATACTTGTCCGAGGAACTGTGGGCTGGGAATCGTGGGCGCTCAAGAAGGAACCCATTATTATGACTCATCTGGTTCTGGTATGAAGTGTACAACTTGGTCCTATTAGTTTGTTTCCTGTACATTATAAAACGTTAATCAGTTTATCCTAAGATTAGCTTTCATCAAATTTCAATGAGCGAGGACAGCCTACACAATCAGTTTTAAGTGTTATGACAGCATCATCCAATTTTTTCAAATATAAATGGGGATTTTATCTTATCTGTGCACTAAATTATTTTTACATCAGAAGACTGCAATCAAGTGACAATGTGGACTACTCGTGCGCCAATACCGCCACCTGACTACCTCTCCGCTTCACCTTATTAATTATTTAAGGCCCGTGTTCAGTAAACTGTATAGGGGTGAGAAAGCTCTTAATGTGCGAAAAGTTTCCATAATAAAATGGAGGCGAGGCACACGGCTCCCGGACAGATGGCCTACGGATATTTAGCAGAGACATTTCATCGAATATCGGATATCTGGCTGAATGGACGTACAGTCTTAAATTTTATTAATTTCTTTTATGTAACTGCTTTATAAAACTAAAAAACGATAAAAGGATAACATTGTGCTATTAAAGAGTATTACACATGTATTAACTTAAATATTTAAGTATGGGCAACTGCTCTCAAGAAATCAATTCTTTATTGAAGAAAAGTTTCCCCACACAGTATCTTAATCAGTCCAATAAAGCAGAAAGGTGTAAGTAGTAGTAGTTTGAGGTAATCAGTCCCTCAGCCTGGAATCTAGTCATCAAGCAATAGTTTTCTTCCTCTTGTTGGTATGAATTCCATGATCTTAAAACAAAAATTTTCTTCAAATGATTCGACTTTTACCATTTATTTATAGTCACTATCACATTAGCTGCCTGACTGCGGTGGAGTGCGGTTGTGCACAGCACCCCTCTGCTGTTTGTCAGGAGAGCTCTCATAGCAACAATATGGCGCTGAGTATCCGACGTAGGATAAACACTGTCGGCGTTGAGCTGCTTCGTGGGGCGATTTCCCCCTCTACGGCGCAGGTGTTA